AGAAATAATATAGTTTGTTGCATATAAATAATCCAGCACAAGAAAAAAATTCAGCCTTTTGTTGTATTCTTTCCTGCCCCACCCCTTCAAAACAAAAGAAAGTAAACCAGTGGATGGCGCATGCAATCCCTTTCTAAGCGCAGATGCATCTGCAAGTCCATTTTGTGAATATTCAATGAGTAGTTGGAAGTCAGATGGTATCCATTCCCAGAAACATTCCAAAAAAATTATAAAATCCCTAATTATACCTCTCCCTTCTAGACATTTGTACATGTTCTTTCCCTCCAAACTGGACACCATTGAACACCACAGGAACACACACTAAAAACAAAGATTAGTCACTTTTGCCATGCCTGATGATTTTCATCTTTTTCTGATGGAAGTCGCACATTGTGACTGAGGATAAGTTTTGGCTCTGTGTGTGTGTGTGTGTGTGTGTGTGTGTGTGTGTGTGTATTTGAGATGGAGTCTCACTCTGTCACCCAGTCTGGAAGGCAGTGGCACAATCTCGGCTCACTGCAACCTCCGCCTCCCGAGTTCAAGCAATTTTCTTCTTCAGCCTCGCGCGTAGCTGGGATTAGAGGTGCCTGCCACCACATCCAGCTAATTTTTGTATTTTTAGTAGAGACGGGGTTTCACTATGTTGGCCAGGCTGGTCTTGAACTCCTGACCTCGTGATCCACCCACCTCATCCTCCTAAAGTGCTGGGATTACAGGCATGAGCCACCACACATGGCCAGCAGTATGTTTTTTAAAAGCGTTTTGAATGTTTATGCCCTAAAGTAGTGTGTGCACTTTCCAGCTGTTAGCTGCCTGGATCTTGAAGATATTTGTGTTTGTTCTCCTAGAAATTATTTCAAGCCTATGAGATTTATGCTTATAGTTAATACCAAATCACTTTCATTTTCCATTTTCTACTTAGTTGGTGTTTAAAAAGACTAAGAATGAAATAAAATATTGAAATATTTTTGTAAACATGGCTGTTTATATCAGTGCTGAGATCTGGACGTACTACTTGACAGGCAGATGACTACTAAACACTCAAATTATTTCTTTTGTCAGTTAGTGTTTGAAAGTCTACATTCAAAATGCTAAGATTGGGTTATCAATATACTGTATAATGAACAAATACAAGCTGTCGGAAGATGAATTTTTGAAAGTTGCAAACAACCTAGTCACTAGCTTACTGTAATGATTGTCTGGGTTTGAATTTTAGTTCAGTCTTGCTCTTTTGCTTGGAAAAAGTTTTGAGTCCAACACTCAGGCTCTCACTGTGAGGGAGGGGTGGGAGAGCACTGCCTCCTTAGCCCTGTCCTTTAAGAGAAGCTTCAACAGCCACACTTGGTGATCTTGAGACATGTTCCCTCATTTGGGGGCATGGTGGCCTGGTGCCTGACACTTCCTGAGGAAGTTAAATCAGCTTGGATAGTGTATTAGTCCATTTTCACACTGCTATAAAGAACTACCCAAGACTGGGTCATTTATAAAGAAAAGAGGTTTAATTGACTCACAGTTCCACATGGCTGGGAAGTCCTCAGGAAACTTACAGTCATGGTATAAGGCGAAGCAAGGCACCTCTTACATGGTGGTAGGAGAGAAAGAGCATGAAGGAGGAAGTGCCACTTTAAAAACCATCAGATCTCATGAGAATTCATTCACTATCATGTGAACAGCATGAGAGAAACTGCCTCCATGATCCAATCACTTCCCACCAGGTCCCTCCCCTGACACATGGGGATTACAATATGAGATGAGACTCAGGTGGAGACACAGAGCCAAACCATATCATTTTGCCTCTGTCCCCTCCCAAATCTCATGTCTTTCTCACATTTCAAAACATAATCACGCCTTCCCAACAGTCCACCAAAGTCTTTTTTTTTTTTTTTTTTTTTTGAGACAGAGTCTCGCTCTGTCGCCCAGGCTGGAGTGCAGTGGCCGGATCTCAGCTCACTGCAAGCTCCGCCTCCTGGGTTCACGCCATTCTCCTGCCTCAGCCTCCCGAGTAGCTGGGACTACAGGTGCCCGCCACCTCGCCCGGCTATTTTTTTGTATTTTTTATTAGAGACGGGGTTTCACCGTGTTAGCCAGGATGGTCTCGATCTCCTGACCTCGTGATCCACCCGTCTTAGCCTCCCAAAGTGCTGGGATTACAGGCTTGAGCCACCGCGCCCGGCTCAAAGTCTTAACTCATTTCAGCATTCACCCAAAAGTCCAAGTCCAAAGTCTCATCTGAGACCAGGCTAATCCCTTCCACCTATGAACCTGTAAAATGAAAAGCAATTTAGCTATTTCCAAGATACAGTGGAGGTACAGGCATTGGTAAATGTTCTCATTCCAAAGGAGAGAATTTGGCGAAAACAAAGGGGCCACAGGCCTCATGCAATTCTGAAACCAGGTGGGGCAGTCAGTCATTAAATCTTAAAACTCCAACATCTCTTTTGACTCCGTGTCTCACATCCAGGGCATGCTGATGCAAAGGGTGGGCTCCTATGGCCTTGGGCAGCTCTGCCCCTGTGGTCTTTCAGGGTACAATCCCAGAGATGCTTTCATGACCTGGCATTGAGTGCCTGTGGCTTTTCCAGGCACATGGTGCAAGCTGTTGGTGAAGCTACCATTCTAGGGTCTGGAGGAAGATGGCTCTCTTCTCACAACTCCACTAGGCAGTGCCCCAGTGGGGACTTTGTGTGAGGGCTCCAACCTCACATTTCCCCTCTGCATTGCCCTAGTGGAGGTTCTCCACGAGATCTCCACCCCTGCAGCAGACTTCTGCCTAAACATTCAGGCATTTCCATTTATCCTCTGAAATCTAGGTAGTTTCCAAAGCTTAACTCTTGTCTTCTGTGCACCTGCAGGCCCAACACCATGTGGAAATTGCCAAGGTTTGGGGCTTGCACCCTCTGAAGCAACAGCTCAATCTATACCTTGGCCCCTTTTAGCATTTGGAGCTGGAGTGGCTGGGAAGCAGGGCATCAAGTCCTGGGGCTGCACAGAGCAGCAGGGCCCCGGGCCTGTGATGCCCTGAAGATCTCTGACATGCCCCAGAGACATTTTCCCCATTGTCTTGGCTATTAACATTTGACTCCTTGTTACTTATACAAATTTCTGTGACTGGCTTGAATTTCTCCCCAGAAAATGGGGTTTTCTTTCTTACCTAATGGTCAGGCTGCAAATTTTCTAAGCTTTTATGTTCTGCTTCTCTTTTAAATAAAAGTTTCAGTTTCAGATCATCTCTTTGTGAATGCGTATAACTGAATGCTTTCAGAATCAGCCAGGTTAAGTCTTGAACATGTTGCTGCTTAGAAATGTCTTCCACCAGATACTCTAAATAATTTCTCTCAAGTTCAAAGTTCCACAGGTCTCTAGGGCAGGGGCACAATGCCACCAGTCTCTTTGCTAAAGCATATCATGAGTGACCTTTACTCCGGTTTCCAATAAGTTCCTCATCTCCATCTGAGATCACCTCAGCCTGGACCTCACTGTCCATATCACTATCAGTATTGTGGTGAAAACCATTCAACAAGTCTTCAGGAAATTCCAAACTTTCCCATGTCTTGCTGTCTTCTTCTGAGCCCTTCCAAACTGCTGCACCAACTTCTGCCTACTACTCAGTTCCAAAGTTGCTTCCACATATTCAGGTTATCTTTATAGCAGTACCCGACTCTGCCAGTGCCAATTCTCTGTATTTGTCCATTTTCACACTGCTATAAAGAACTACCCGAGACTGGATAATTTATATAGAAGACATATTTAATTGACTCAACATTCTGCATGGCTGGGAAGGCCTCAGGAAACTTACAATCATGACAGAAGGTGAAGGGGAAGCAAAGTACATCTTACATGGTGGCAGGTGAGAAAGGGAGCAATGGAGGAAGTGCCACTTTAAAAACCATCAGATACTGTGAGAACTCACTCACTATCATGAGAACATCATGGAGGAAACCATCCCCATGATCCATCACCTCCTATCATATCCCTCCTTCAACATGTGGAGATTACAATTTGAGATGAGATTTGGGTGGAGACACAGAGCCAAACCACATCTGGTAGCAACTGGGAGGTACCAACCCTCTTGGCTTCTGATTGCAGGACAAAGATATGTGAGTCTGAGGACTAGGTATGCTGACCTGCGGCATTGTATAAGGGATTCTGCACATGAGGGTGATTTGCCAAGGCCAAAAGACCCTCAGTTGTGAGTAGCCCTGGGATAAAGGTGAGGTGAGCCAGGAGTGGCCAGTGAAGAGGAGTCAGTGTTGGAGAGGCCTAGCAGAGGAACTTCTGAATAAGCCATAAACGGAACGATCAACTTTGAACATCTGTTAGTACTACAGGGTACAAAGCAAAGAACTTTGCTTCTCCCTTGCCTTTTTCCTACCAGTACACCACCCCAATCCATACCAAACCTGGAGAAGGCTGAAGTGGAGATAAGAAGGAAGGAAAATAGCCAACCATGGCTTTCTAGTTAATAAAGAAGGCAGGTGGCCATCTGCAGTCAGCCATAGCTGGATATAGATGGGGGCATATCTCATTTGTGATTGAAGATTGACAATTGGCTATTATATTCTCATTTATGAACTGAGACTATGACTATGACTCAATGGGCTGTAAGATTTTGTATTACTTAAGAGAGATGAAAAAGGTTATGGGGCTGCCTGAGTTTGCTTTCAGGAGCCTTAGTAGGAATAGCTTCCACTAAGTGGACTTGATAGGACATGGGAGACAAAAGTAAAATTGCAATTTGATAGCACCTCACAGATTGTCCTTATTCAATGTATCTCATGTGTGTATATGTGTATGTATACCAGATGTATATATACACACACATATATGTATACACACACCAGGCATATATGTACCAGATATATGTGTTTTATATTGGTTTCTTAGCTGAATTTAAATTTTAAGCAAAAAATATTAATACTTTTAAAGATTAGTTCTATTAGGAACATAAAATTAAGACAGTAGTTTAATTCTAGTAATCGAAAGATAAAATACAACACTACCTTGTTATGATGAAGCCATAAGTATTTTAATTTTTTAAACCTAGAGAGATCAATGACCTCTGTCAGTTCCCTGGAAAGAAAAAAAATGTGGACATTAGCAACAATCAGTTCACACGTAGGTAAGACTGGGCATGCAGTTAGTATGGCTTCGTAGTAACTAGAAGGTTCTCTCTCTCTTTGTCCTTTCAAAATTGTTGGCAAACTCACCTGCTTATTTCAGAAATTCCATCATTATAACTTCATTCATTTGGATTAAGATTTTGTCAGCTAGTTAAAGCTAATACTTGAAGGGGAGCACTTTACCACATTAGCAAAAATTTACACCTCATTATGACTGAATTTATTGGAACCTTAATTCAAAACAAGTTTTATTGGGGAGAGGACAAAGGAAAAAAGTGAAGCTAATACTGGACTTTCAAGTAAATGTGGGAAACGTAGCTGGGTCCTGTTTCAATATCGTCTGTGGGTTATTACTGTGGGGCAATAACCTTGAAGTATTTAGCCAGACTGGACTCAGATGGAAATTGCAGGACACCAAGAGACAGACACTGTGTGAAGTGCTTTATTCTCCCTTTATTTATTAATTATAGGATTAAAATATTACCCACTTCTCTTGAATGGTATGAGATTCCACCTATCCAAGTGGTCTTGGTTCTTGTTCCTAAGGCAGCTCACTTATCAAAGGGGCAGTTGTGGGTTTGGGAGAGGGCACTGTCTGAGATAGTTGGTCATTTGATTGATGTGGCCTAGAGTAGTTGGATCTCTTATTTCTCAGGGCAGAAATTGTGGAACCCAAGTATGTATACATATACATATCTGTTTATTTATCAAATGCTTAGAGATCACATATCGTTATCTGTTTATCAAATTCTTATAGATCACGTATTGTGTGCCAGGTACTTTTCAAAGCATAAAAATATCAATATTTACTATTATTACAGATATTAATTTATTTACGGTAAAATTTTATCACAATTATTTTTAACCTTGGGACGCTGAAGGAATAATACTTTTCTAATTTTTATAAAAACATACATTTTTTGAAAGCATGCAAACATTTCTAAACAAAATAAACTTTTTTTCACTAACTTTTTATATTGAAAAAAGTCAAACCTGAGAAAAGATGAACGAATAGTACAATGACCACTTGTATACTCATCATAATTTTTAACATATTGTTACATGCTTATCCTATCTATCTAATTTATATATTTATTGGTTGATAATTTTCTTGGTGAATCATTTGAAAATAAATTTGCAGGCTTATTGCAGGTGTCTCAGCTTAAGGAGTTCATCTTGTGTATCTCCTATATCAGGGCATTGTCCTGTGTAACCAAGATACCATCCTCACACCTAAGAAGATGAAATGGAATTCAGTAATTTAATCTAATATGCCATTCATGTTCAAAGTTTCCCTGTTGTTCCTACATTTCCTTTGGGGTTTTAAAATCTTGTATCCCATTAACATTCATGCATTGCATTTGGAGTGATGTAATCTTTGAGTCTTTTTAAAGGTAATCATCTTCTTTCCTTTTTCTCCCTTAACATTAGCTTTTTGGGCTGGGCATGGTGGCTCACACCTGTAATCACAGCACTTTAGGAAGCTGAGGTGGATGGATCACCTAAGGTCAGCAGTTTGAGACCAGTCTGGTCAACATGGTGCAACCCCGTCTCTACTAAAAATACAAAAATTAGCCAGGGGGTGGTAGCACATGCTTGTAATCCCAGTTACTTGGGAGACTGAGGCAAGAGAACCACTTGAACCCAGGAGATGGAGGTTGCAGTGGCCGAGATCGTGCCATGGCACTCCAGCCTGGGTGACAAGAGCAAAACTCTATCTCAAACAAACAAACCAACCAAAAACCATTAGCTTTTTGGAGAGTCCAGGATAACTGTCTAGTAGAATGTCTTACATTATTGATTTTTTTGGATTGTTTCCTAATGATCAAATGCAAGGAAGATCATGTCTACTTCTCAATTACATGGGTAGTAATTACTGAATCACATAAGGATCCAAATGATGTCAGTCTGCCCCACTCTTGATGAAGCTAAATTCAGTCATTTGGTTAAGAGGGTATCTGCCAGTTCTCGCCACTATAAAAGTACACATTTTATAATTGGAAAGTCATACATGAGGCAAATATCTGAGATCATGTGTATATCTTGCTCCCTGACAACTCTTTACTCAATCGCTTTAGCTTCAATTGATGATCCTTATCTGAGCCAATAGATTTAGGATTATAAAATGATTTTCCTAATGTTCTTATTCTTTTTACATTATTAGCTGCTATTCGTATGTAATGAACATCTGTTCCCTCCTCTTCTATCTCATTCATTCTCCTCCCCATCTTCCCTGAATTTTCAAGTTTTTTTTCTTAATCCTTTATCACTTAAAACAATGATCAAATTCTCCCTTATAAAAGACATTTCAAGCAAAATCGTGTGTCTCTTTGATATGTACCATTAGTTTTTGAGCACTTCCCTGGCACAACAAAATATTTCAGATTCTTCCAAAACAACTTTTTTTTTTTCTTTTTTAGAAAGGGTTTGGCTCTGTTGCCCAGGCTGGAGTACAGTGGCTCCATCTTGGCTCACCTCAACCTCCACCTCCTAGGTTCATCAGATCCTCCTACCTCAGCCTCCTGAGTAGCTGGGACCACAGGTGTAAACCACCATGCCTAGCTAATTTTTTGTAGAGACAGGATTTCACATGTTGGCCAGGCTGGTCTCAAACTCCTGGGCTCATGTGATCCACCTGTCTCAGCCTCTCAGAGTGTTGGGATTACAGGTGTAAGCCACCGCGTCTGGCCTCAAACAACTTTTAGTAGGAAATTTGTACAAATAATAATACATTCTCCTCTCTCACTGTAGATATGTAGCTTATTTCAGGGAAAGAGTACTTGGACCTTGGGGCACCGTAACTATTGCATTGAGTGATAGTGAGAGTATGTTAACTTCATCTGTTCCTACGATAAATAATAAAGAAATCATTACATGGCTACATTAGAGTATCTCATGCCCCACTCAGAGGATTTCCCATAAAAGTTATTTTATTTTATTTTATTTTATTTTACTCTATTCTATTTATTTTATTTTATTTTTTGAGACTGAGTCTCGCTCTGTCTCCCAGGCTGGAGTGCAGTGGTGTGAAAGTTGTTTTAATACACTAAAACTTTAAAGTATTAACTGTGTCAAGTTACTGTCATTAATTTTTTTGTAACAGTAATATCAATGTTGAATTTTCATTGATTAGGTAATATAATAAATTTATGTTTCATTTTTCTTTTTTAAAATTTAATTTTAAAAAAATTTTAGAAGCCCACATCTAATATCATATAAATTCACTTTTCAAGGGTACTCTAACTATTTCATGTCAGAAGGGTTTATTCTGTACATAAACCTGTCCGAAATCAATAACAAGCTGTTACATTATAAGGTGAGGCCAGTCAAAGGATAAATGAGAGGTAATTCTACTAATGATGGCTATGACTCATGCTGACAATACTTGTCAACATCCTGTTACAATGTATGTTCTCCATGATCACTCAAGAACACGTCAATAAGATGCTTTCCATTTCCCAGAGTCAACAGAAACTTAGGCAAATAGATAACTCAGTATACCAGTGTATTGGCATCTGGACTGGGAAATAGTTTTTGTCCACAGCTGGATGAAATGGTAACTTAGTATCCTCAAAATGTAAAAGGTGTTTTCCTTCTCATAAGCAGACCATTAATTACCTACTGTCAGGTGATCAATATCTCAAATTTTCTAGTATTTTAAAGCTACTCTTATTATCTTCTTACCTTAGTGATCAATAGTATACAATTGTCAAAATCATGAAAGATGCAATCTTTTGACCACATGAAGTATTTATTGTTATTTTAAAACTAACTGACCTATATCGAGTGGCTCAAAGTATGACCTTAAATGTATCAGAATGCTCTACCATATGTGTTCCATACTAAATGTATTTTTAAATATTTCAAACTTGTCATGAATGTATTCCTTTACTACCAAGAGATTCAGAGTCCTTACAAAGATAAACACTTTTCTCTGTACTGATAAACATAAATATTTATTTATGATAAAATATATATAATAATAAAGGATTTCTCCAAATTGCTAGAAATAAAAGTGATTAAATTTGTTGATAAACTAAAGCATTTTCTTTACTGGAAGCCTATTTAAAAATAATACACAGAATTCAGAGGCATTAAAAAGCACAAAGTAAGGGGGACACAATGTAGGAATAGGGTCACTGTGCTTAAAATGCAAACTTCAGTGTCACTTATTGGCCAGTGAGAACTGCAGTATCAGAGTCTAATTTTATTTATAACTCCCTCTTCCTCTCATACCTGTGTTCTATCTCATTCTACTCCATAGAAAAACGCAATTTGTTGTCTGCCCCCTTGAGGAGTTCGAGTGGAATCAAAGTAGGCTATTGATATGTGAGAGGGATTTTTCTACTTACCAGTAAAATTTGTATGGGGATAGGTAGAGGTTGTAGTACAATGGGGGTCATTATCGTAGTATGTGGTATAATGATTCCCAATAATAGTAATAATATTAACCATACTAATGCTCATTGAGTGCTTACTGTGTGCCAGTAACTTTGACTAACTTTTAGTAACTCACCTAAGCTTCACAACAACCCTGAGAATGAGGTAGTATAATTATACCCAGGGAATATCGTTGCCAGATAAAATACAGGATATTGGGCTACATTTGAATTTCAGGGAAACAATGAATTTTCCAACTACTGTGTGGGACATACTTACACTAACTAAAATTATATTCATTGTTTCTATGAAATTCAAATTCAACTGGATGTCCTATATACTTATTTGTTAAATCTGACAATCCTAATAGGGAGGTTGTACGACATACCCAAGATCACCCAGCTGGAACAGACAGAGCTGGGATTCAAACAGCCTGTCTCCATAATCTTTTTTTTTTTTTTTTTAAATCAGTTTCAGTATTTTGTCTCTCCAGTAGAAAACTGTGGACTCCAGGAAGTGGTAAAATAATTGGAGTGTGGTTGCCTACCCAGTCCTTGAGGGGCAAAAATGGAAAAGAACATTTGAATCTGTGAAACATTTTAACATGATCATGATAACATGATACTCTTTCATTGTTTTATGTTAAGTACACTTACTTTTTAGAAAGGAACAGCTCGAAGACATCAGCATCCCTCTTGTGGCCACGTATCTTTAGTTGATCTTCAACTGCCTGATAACATATAATTAATCTGTCAAACTACATTCCAGTGAACAAAAATGCTGAGGCATTTGCAGTCAATAACAATAATGTCTACAAGAAGATCAAAAGAAAGGTGAATATGGAGATAACCATTCTAAACTGATAAATTCCAACACTACAATTATATATTATTTACTCATTTTTGTGGTTGAATTTCATTATCCTTAATCCTAGGCACAGATGTTTAAATAATTTTTAATCAGAGAGAAAAAAATATGCATGTGTACATATACAACAAAAGCAAGTTTTTATTCTCTATGAGGTAAGGTAATTTGGTCTTTAAAGAACTATTCTTAAATGTTTCTTTGAACATGAAGAATTAGTATTTGATAGGTTTCCTACAGAGAATTCGCCCAGTATAGGGTTGGAGGTGGAAAGAGTAGAATAAAATGTATGTTATTATAGGACATTCTTTTTGTGCCTATCACATTATGCTTGGCACCCAGTAAGTTCTCAAAAAATGTGAAATGAATGAATACATGTCATTTTTCTCTGAACAAATGAATAAATACATTTTCCCTTGCTTGGCAAGCAACAGTGACTTCATTTTTCATGAGTTGCTAACATACTCATACTGTGAGAATTTTTGGTGGAGAAGCAACTTTTATTCCCATAGCTCTGTTTTAAAAATAAAACTTTAGCAACAGCTGTTTAAATGCTTTGCTTTTTTCTTTTAAAGTCCTTTGCTAAATTATAAAATAACGTTAATAGGCCACATGACCTAAAATAAGATGAAAAAAGTAAACTCTGTCTGTAATTTGCCATGAAAAAGTAGAGCTAACAAGACATGACAAAAGTGAAAAGTATAATTATTGCAGTCCTGGAATCTGACAAACATTGTAATTATCAGAGTCAAAACAATCACTGAATTTTAGCTGGGATTTGTTATGAATGGTGAGGTTATAACTGACTTATAAATCTTTCTGGGTGATATATGAAATTTTGACAGTAGTTTTGCTATTTGGTAGAGGACTTCAATAGGAGTTATATTTAGTGCAATGAACGTATTTAAAGAAATGAGGAAGGTAGGTATCCTAGTGATGGACAGCAGCTGCAAATGTATAGTCCCGAACTTCCCTTGACACCTTGTTAAGCAAGCTGAATCTAGGGACTTGGAGCATTCACAGGCTCAGGGTTAGGCATTGCTATCAGGGTGCTTTGTTATCCAGTTACACAAGCCGAGCCTGGGGCTTGGAAAAACCCATTGGATCAGGCTTAGACATTCTCATCTGGTTTTGTTTTGTTTTGTTTTGTTTTTTGAGAGAATCTTGCTCTGTTGTCCAGGCTGGAGTGCAGTGGCGTGATTTCCTGCAACCTCTGCCTCCCAGGTTCAAGCAGTTCTCCTGCCTCAGCCTCCCAAGTAGCTGGGACTACAGGTGCATGCCACCACGCCCGGCTGATTTTTTGTAGAGATGGGGTTTCACCATGTTGGCCAGGTTGGTCTCGAACTCCTGAGTTCAGGCAATCTGCCTGCTCCAGTCTCCCAAAGTGCTCGGATTACAGGCGTGAGCCACCACACCCGGCCCTCATCTGGGTATTTTAACTTAAAGATGTCAACTATCAACCTCTACTATGTACAGTCAGTCACATCTTTGCATAGTGTTTGGGGTGGTATAGCCCAGTCAAAGAAGAATTAAAACTTGGCAGCCATCTATTAAAATTATAAATGTGCTTTTAAATTGATGCGGACATTCTACCTCCAGGACTCAGAAACACACAGGTGCATACACCCAGACAAATGTGATTATCACTGCTTATTTCAGCATACATTTTCTGCGGTTGTGAAATAGTCCCCATTAACTGGAATGCAGGTTAAATTGACATGTGACATCACAATGGAATACTGTGAAGTAGTTTCCAAATATAGAGAGGTGGTCTGATGGCTAATTTTATATATAAATTTGACGGTACTATGAGATGCCCACATAGCTGGTAAAACATTATTTATGGGTGTGTTTCTGAGGATGTTTTTGGAAGAGATTAGCATTACTATTAGCGGACTGAGTAAAGAAGATCACCCCTCACCAATGGGGGTGGATATCATCCAATCCAGTGAGGGCCCCAATAGAACAGAAAAGCAGAGGAATGTGAATTCATGCTTTCTTCTGGAGTTAGGAAATCCATCTTCTGCCTTCAGACATCAGTATTCCTAGTTCTCAGGTCTCTGGGCTTGGACTAAACTACATTACTGGCTCTCTCCTGGGCTCCAGATTGCAGACAGCAGATTGTGGGACTTCTCAGTCTCCATAATGAAGTGAGCCAATTCCTCATAAGAAGTCTCTTTCTATATATCTCTATATATATATCCTATTATTTTGTTTCTCTGGAGAACTCTAACTGATACAAATAGATATCTAGACATCTAAAGATATCTAAAATATATTTATAAATAAAAAGTAATTGGCAGTATAATATGTGTAACAATATTTTTGTTAAAAGTCATATTTATATGAATACAAAATGCACACACTTCAAATGACTAGCAAAAGTCATCACTTGAGATCATGAGGGACTTTCACTTTCTAGGCAATATTTATTTTTAGTGATGTGTTAGTATTTTACAATAAGCATATATTAATTTGATAATCAGAAAGTAATGCACATTTTGAAAATTGTAGCCATAGAATGAATATTTAAAAATTTAAATCAAATTTCAAAAAATACGAGGTGAAAGGGAAATTGAATGTATCAGCATAATATGTAAATCATTATCATAGTTATTTATTTACACAAGTTTTTGTCACAGCATGTTTCTTTCCAATCAATAATTTTACATGAATCTGGTACAAAATATTAATATCAAAGTACCAAGAAACATGAAAATGTGCCAATTCACATTTCAGTGAATCCATGGTGGAACAATTCCAGTTCCCAGTTAACACACAGCTTCACTATTACCATATGCCCTCATCTAAAGGAATTCAATTAAGTTTGCCATCTTACAAGGGCACAGTTCGTGGTCCCTTAAGCAAATATGATAGTAACATTCAAAAAAAAAAAAAAAAAAAACACCAGTATCTGCAAAGCACAATATAGTGAAGCACAGTAGAAATGAAGTATGCCTGTACTGTTAGCCCGGGCACGTTGGAAGATTTCAGGGCACAACTAACAGTCAGGCTGGGCCTTGAGAGGTGAGGCGAAATTAGAAACGGGATGTTGGTGGAAGAGGAGAGTAAGCACACAAAACAGAAGAAGCAGAAGAATGTATAAGGTATGTGGGGCTGTACAGCCTTTGGCTGAAGTAAAAGGCATGTGGAAGGCAATTTTGAGAAATAAGAAAGGGGGGTTGGGGTCATATTATTTATGCCAACTTTGAAATTTAGGCTCAGAACTGTGTACTTAATCAGTGCTCAGAGAAAACTTCTTCAGGCCTTGAGAACTCTAACTGAACATCATTTAATTTTATATGATATATAAACACATGTATATGTACATATATATGAGATATATATTCTAAGTAGCTGTATGGTAAAATTCATGTAAGAAAGTCTAATTAAGGATAACAATGTCAATGCTTTTACACAATATCCAGTATCAAATTATGTCACAAACACTTTTCTTCCTTCTCCGTTGGTGCCCTTGCTTTGTTGGTACCCTGAAGGCACAGAACTGACTATTGGGTGATTCAGCATTGTGCTCATTTCTGGGGCAATAGGAAGATATTACTGGATTTTTGAACTAGAAAAAACATGTGACAAAGCTAGGCTTCGGGAAGATGACTCTAGCAGTGATGTGTATGGGGGCCTGGGGTGCAGTGAGAGCTGCAGACAGGAAGCAAGGCTACCTCTGGGAAACAAAGTCCGCCAGCTAAGGAGCCTGCCCTAGGGTGGGGGCAAGTGTGAATGGGCAGTGAACAGATATGACATGGGGCGTGTTTAGGGAGAATGAATGGGAACTGGCAAGTAAAAGGAGGTAGAGAATTAGCACGAGGGAAGTGACAGGTGATGATGATGATGATGTGATGACTTGATGAGAAAGGTGACTGGGAGGGAAGACAGATGCAGCTGAGAAATGCTGAAATTGAGGCCATGGTGGAACATACTGGTCAAGGCACCCACCAGAAAGCTGCAATGGTAAATGTGGAACTCATCAGAGATCTCATCAGGGCAGCTGTGCTGATCTGATGAGTCAGTTAACCTGAGGAGAGTGGGATCCAAGGAAGATCACGATGAAGTGTCTTTCCTTTCATGGAAAGAAAGGAGAGGGAAACATGTTGGAAAGGAGACAGAGGAGGATCGTTGTCAAGTGAGGTAGGAAAACAAAAGGACAGTGGGAGGCAGAGGGGCATTTGAAGAAGGTAGAATTTCAATGTGCAGCATTGTTTTGGCTGGTGGGGGATGTCACTCAGAAAAGGTACTGAATTTAGAGGCTTGAATTTCAGTAGCTTGAAGAGGGCGAAAAGTCGGATTTCAAATTAATTGGTCAGCCTAAAAGGAAAATAAAAAGAGGCCATCACAAAATTGGGATGTGAACAGTTCTAGCACGGGGAGAACAGCAGCTGCTTCCTCCACCGCCCAATGCCTGAAGATCTAGAATCAAAGGGAAAAAATGTTTGAAAATGGTAGGATTATTAAATCCTAGAAGAATAAGGTCAGTATTAAAACCTATAGAAGAAAATGTCCTCTCTGATGATAAATTCTTGTATCTCCATGCAACACGCAGGCACAAGTTAGGACTTAGTGTGAAGAGCTTTCAATTCAACACAGAACTCTCAGCCTCCTTTAATCACAGCAGCCCCCGTCTTTGCAGATGAGTCAGAGAACTCCAGAAAGCCTTGCTAGGTCTCACCTGGCACAATTCTGAGATTCTTTTTCCCCACCCGAATATCCAAATATTCTTTTAATCATTATTTTAACTGCTCTGGACTCTGCTTGTAGGGATCATCAAATAACATTTCCTCTTCAAGGTGTCGATTTGCACTTGCCGGGAACAATATATTAGGGATACACACCCACACCCACACCCACACACCCCTGTTGGAGAATCAAGACTGCAAAATTTACTTAATCTCCGTTTCACTTAATCTACAAACAAAAAAAAAATTATATACGCAGCAGATGCTGAGTGGTAAAAGGTCAGTGTAAGTCTATTAGTGTGGATCGGAAAGTCCTCAAACCCCACCCAGGAGATTAGGGACCTCTAGCCCAGGCAGAGTTGCTGAGGGGGCTTCGCCACCGCTCAACGCTGTTCACATCCCAATTTTGTGCTGGACTCCTTGTTCTCCTTTTATGTTGACCAATTAATTTGAAATCTGACCTATCTCCATCTTCAGGATACGGAAATTTCCTTCCAAAGTCAGTATCTGCCTGGAGTCCTCAGGCAGAGGGCAGAGGGGCTGATAGCTTGAGAAGGCAGGTGCCGCTTACCCGGCGACTGCTCTGTAGGGCAGTTTCGGACGCCCTCCGTAGGCTCCAGCATCGCAAGGCACGGGGAACGGGGTTCGGGTCCCAGGACATCAGGACACATGGGCCGCCGGCAGCAGCGGCGATTAATCCGGCCTTGCCCGCGGGTGGCACCCAAGAGAGACTTGGTTTGGCGCGCAGCTCATTGTTCCGTTACCAACAGTTACCGCATTCCCGTTGACTAAAAGCCAGTCCACACTGGGAAATATTTGAAGCCAAACGCTGCCTTCTGTGACGTTTGCGCGTGTGATTCTGCAACACCCCCGCTTGCGACTCGGACACACGCGTGTTATCCCTGCTCGTGGTGATGCGTGCGGTGGATGCCGGAGAGAGGGGGTCAGCTATGTCCGGGACCAGGAGGAGGTCAGAGCGCCTCAACAGCAGTCACCCAGTAATCATCACTTTGATTCGAGATTTGAATATCAGGAAATTTAGGTTTCTGAAAATTAGACGTGTGTGTGGACCACTGGCCTCACGCACAGGGTGGGGGTGACGAGGTGCCCTGCAGAGTCACTGTGGATCTTGACGCAAAAGGAAAATAGCCAGTACTTCTGATCGTGTCTCTATTTAAAAGTTTGACATTTTGTTCATTATGCATGTTATTTGCATACATTTTGATTTTTCTTTTTTTAAATAATGCATTAAGATATTTATTTTGAGGCCGGGCACAGTGGCTCACGCCTGTAATCCCAGTGTTTTGGGAGGCTGAAGCAGGTGGATTGCCTGAGGTCAGGAGTTCCAGACCAGCCTGGCCAATATGGAGAAACCCTGTCTCTATTTAAAAAAAATACAAAAGTTAACCGGGCATGGTGGCATGCGCCTATAATCCCAGCTACTTGGGAGGCTGAAGCAGGAGAGTAGTTTGAACCTGAGAGGCAGAGGTTGCAGTGAGACAAGATCAGACCATTGCACTCCAGCCTGGGTGACAGAGGGACACTCTGTCTCAAAAAAAAAAAAAAAAAAAAATTTACTTTGAATGCTGAATTTTTGGTTTTATGGTGCTTCTTACATCCAGATCCAAGGCCACTGCCTTAATTGCCTCACCATAGACCCAGACCTGGGATGAAGATGGGGGTGGTAGTATTAAGGCTCCGGAAGAGTCCAGGTGCACAGAAAAATGGAAGGAACTCTCTACTGACTTTATTGGCTAAGAACAAGGGCATATTGTTTCAGTAGCTGAGAAATCTTTTCTCTGACAGGAAGTGGATAAATTGAGCCACTATTTGGCCAATCTTTTCAACCTCGTTTTTTGTTTTTGTTTTTTGAAATTGCTGTCTCCTGTAACTGCATTGGAACCTCTAGCATAGATTATCTTGTGATTTTATTTATATGAGCCTTGTTCCCTCTAGCTTGGGTAACTTTGGAGGCAGGATCCTGTTTAAGACATCTCTCTCTTCTGCCAGAGCCTAACATACTGCGCTTAATTAATGTTGACTGGATTAAATGAATTGGTTTCTTGGCTCCCAATTTGAACCTGAAATCTAGGAATCAAATGTAGCTTTCTGAAATGGGTCAAGCTACTTGCGTTAAAAAAAAATGCTGGTGTTGAAATGAAACATTAAAAAATGTCTCAGTGGGGAAATCAAGTACACATTGTTTCAGTAGTTCTAATATGTATTTGGGGCTGAGGTGGGGGTAAAAGCTCTCCAAGTTATTGTGGAGGGATTAATCATCAAAGAACTATTGTTTAAGTAGTTTCTATCCTAGAAATAAAACTCAAATGAGAGAAATGGTCCACTGAGGAGGCATATATAATAATTCGTTGGCTCATTTTTGCTGTTGATGTGTGTTATAGCATTGCAGATATTATTCATGAATGTGCTACAAGTAAAAAAGGAAATGAACAATACTTGTTCAGTTTTCTACATTACACAAATGTGACTTAATAACCATATGCAAAATAGTTTTAAGGAGCATCTTGCAGATGTAAACTAGTCGCCAGTTAATTTCTACTAAAATCACATCGAAAATTTTTATTCTTTATTTTTTCAGCGTTTTACTTCATATTAAAAAGGTAATTAAAAAAAAAAAAACCTATTCTTAGGAAAGGAACTCAGGACTCACTTATTATAAGATCTTAATGTGTTCCTTCTTAAAGAAGAAATTAACTCATCATGAAGGCTAAAATAAAGCAAATTTAATTATGGAAGGTCAAGGATGGAGGTTAATGAAGGCACTTTTTGGATAAAAGCTCCTTCCCAGACATTCTCACTTTGGTGACATGAAATTTTTACAAAAGAATTATTCCCAGCAGAGTGAACAGAGAGAACTTTTACCTCCATGGGGTGGGATTATAGCCTGAGGAATCTAGCCTGGAATTTTTAAAATTCATGTAAAATATGCATTCTTCTTTACAATCAATCTTGTTTTAATATAAAAATAAAGCAGTTCCCCTAACTCGCCTCAAATCTTTGTGTAATATTTACATTGAAGCAAGACACCCTGTGTTGATCCTGTGGCTTTACCTCCCTGGCTTGCTGCCATTGCCCGCAGGGGTATGCATACCCCAGTTTGAAAGCTCCATCATATCATGTATATAGATTTGGATAAGAAGAAAGAACCCTCTGCTCCAAGTCAGGGCATGTGGGATTTCGTCTCAGCTCTAACATTAACTACTTGTTGGCCACCTTCAAATCACTTAATGTCTCTGGGCCTCAGTTTCTTCAACAGTAAAAGCTGGAAGTTCAGTTCAAAAAATTTATTATTTAATTCACTCTCCTAGACAGGTAGTGTGTATTGTTTACAGAGTAAAAGATTCTCATATTGATATAGAATAGGTTTTTAAGAACAAGTTTTCAGTGAAAAATATGTGAGAAAAATATGCATGTGATGGCTATCGTTAAAGCTACATAATTTTAAAACTTCTTTCTAATTTTGTCTTGAATAATTCCAGTTACCAATCTAGATATTGTTTTGCTAAGTGACTGAAAAATATGTATTTGGTAAAATGATCATTATCACTCATTTTCTACTGGGTGAAATGAGCATAGAATAAACAATATATCGGCCACAATCAATATACATATTCTTATATCACATGTATAAAAAGATATATCTGGCCAGGCACAGTGGCTCACGACTATACTCCCAGCACTTTGGGAAGCCAAGGCAGGAGAATCACTTGAGGCCAGGAGTTCAAAGCTGTGGTGAGCTGTGATCACACAATTTACTCCAGCTTGGGCAACAGAGTGAGACCCCATCTCTAAAAAAAAATAATAAATATTCAAAATTTATAAAATACTTGTTTTTATGATAGTCAATGACCAGGTTATCAAAATTTTCATTGTTATAAGTTTAGGTAAAATAACATCCCATTGTAATTGATAGCTACCATTCTTCTTTTTTTGTTTACATAAAATGCAAATAACAATGGAATATTGGGGGAAAATTTTCCAGGAGTCTCTGCTGTTACTGCACATAAGCAAAGGCACTAACTGCCTTTGGTAAGGACTACACTTTCAAGGATATTTGTATAGCAAATAGCCTTTTAAGATACAGTGTCTATTACAGCTTTGGTAGATATAGTGTCCACTTTCAGAGCAAAGAGTAGGTGTTTGTTTGTTTGTTTATTTATTTACTTATTTATTTATTTTTACTGAGCAGTGTAATAAAGATAATGTCTCCCTCACTTATTATAAAGATAATCTCAGGCAGCTTATTGCCCAGTATAAAAGGTCTGGCTTCCTTAAGTTCAAATTTCCTCTTCTGTAACACAACCCACTCTATGTGCCCATATCACCTGACCCATTTCACATTGCCCTCTGGAAATTGTGGGTAGGAGAACTGGTGGAAATACTAATATTCTATCTATGCTGTTATCATGAGTAATAAGCTATCCTTTGTCTCTAAGCCAGAAGTATCATCTTTTGCCAGCATCTGTGAAACTGTGATAGGCTAACTTTTGCTTCTGTGTATATAGGTGGATTTTCAATGAGATTAAACCATGTAATTTGTTCTTCTTCATCCTTCATTTTTCTCTTTACCATCTCATCAACCTCCATCTTTTCAAGTAAGTGTACATAGAATTACGAAATTGAATTGTGGCATTATGTTTCATTGTAATGTATCTTACAGTTCATTTACTTATTACTCTATTGATGAACATATATGTTGTCCAGGTTTTTGCTGCAACAAACAATGTTGTAACACATGTCTTTGCATACCTGGATTACTATTCCAGTAGCTGAAATTCCCTCATGAGACTATTGGATCATATATGATAATGCCCCTTTCTGGATAGGGTATCTTTCTCTATTGGATATCAATTTTGTTGAACTTTGCCAATCTAATTGGAGAAATTTTTAATCTCAATGTTTTGGTTTATATTTATTTAGGGAAGTTCACGATCTTTCCAAAAACTTATTGGTCATTTGTATTCTTTTTTCTGTGAATGGTCTTTTCATATTCATTGCTTAACTTTTAACATCCAAATGCCAATGAATAAAGCCCTGCAAGCTGGATCTATAGAGTGTTTGCCATTTATTTCTTGAAGTCATCAATGGGTAGCTTCAAGTCACCTTGCAGCATCCTACAAAGCTGTCTTCTCTTGCCCTCCTCTTCCTGCCTAATGCCTGCTGCCCTTCAGACTATTGAAATAAATTTCATTTCTCTAAGCCCAAGTTTCCTTTGCTAGTCTCTAGGGTCCATGCCCAGGATGCTATCACCTGATGTTCTAAGTATCAACTTTTTTGTTTTTGAGTTATTAGAGTGGTGGTGGGTTTTGAGCTGATAGGAGAAACACTGTCTTACTCCAAACCCATGTGACACTTTGCCATCAAGGTTCTGAAGAAGCACTGCTCACGTGCAGTTTTTCTTAAGCTCTTTCAGGAAAGCAGCCACTTCCACTTCTTCCATATGCACCTCATCTCTTTCAAAATTTGCACACAATCTTCCAAATACCTACCTGTATAGGAACACAAAGTGGGTCAGATTTGTAAACATTCCTACACTGTCTGGAAAAGCTAGATGCTTCTAGACACAACTTCAGCTTAACTAAAATGATAATAATAATAATAATTTTCAATTCCAAACCAGTACAGCTTCAGTGTGATTTCATATTTCCTCCCAAGAATAATGGGTCCCCAGGTCTAAGCTCTGTCTGTCCTCATAAACAGCCACCATT